CTCCATATGGCCCCTGTTGTCTCCTGACACCCAAATCCCTTTCCCCAGGCCAGGGGCTGTTTTTGTGGGAACCGTTGCGCTGCTCCTCTTCCACAGAGGGAATGGGGTGACGATGATGAGCGATTGCAGCCGGAGCAGACGTTCAACCTCCAACTCTGAAAGAATGCTCAACAATCGACCGTGTCCGCTCTGCTTGGCCCAATTGCTAATTCAAGCAAGTAGACAATCTGGAGGCAACAATTATGAATGATGAAGAAAGAAAAAATAATACAAGAGGAGGGAATGAGCGAATTCTGAAGTTATCAGGAAGGAGAGTGGAAGATTTGATAGCTACAAGAGTGTAAAAATAAAACCAGGCTGAAAACACGTCCTCAGTCACAGATGAGCGTACGAGCCTCAAAGCTAACCTCTTGTGAAAGCGAGCACAGCTGAACAGAGAGCAATGCAAGCAGAAAATGCTGTTTGTGAATTCAGCTGAGGACATCTCTATCAAACAAAACCTAATGTGATGAAAGAATGTTGACCAGGAGACGTGAGGACCTCAGGTGTTTGATTCAGCTCTCTGCATCAATTTGGATGAAGTGTGAAGATTTATACAGGTCGACCTGCTCCGTATTGCTTTAAAACTGAGGTTAAATAGAAATGGAATCAAACACTTTAGTGATTTTCTGTACTGAGTGCAGCTTTTATTCTGCTACACAACTGTATAAAAATAAACCATGATAGGCTTGCACACCAGTTCAGCTGTAATAAGAAGCATAATGGGAAAAGGCCCACAGTGGCTGGAACAGAAACAAAACTGCAGGAAATAGTAAGGCCCCATGTTTTTTAATTGTTTTTTAAGGAGCTTGATTTACAGAGATTCAGAACAGGAAGTGAACAGAGAGGGGGGAATCAAAGAGTACTCTATCTTTGCCTATTAAACACGCTGTAGATGAGAAGCCCTGCAGCCATGTGACTTGGGGATCGAGTGCAAGAGGACGGACGTCACGAGCTGTTGTCGACTTGCATTCTCTGCCACACATCTGCACTAGGTTTGCATCAGTGTGAGGGAATATGAGGGTGATGCTAAGTGAAATGCTCATTTTGCGTTTGTGATTACCGAGGCCCATGGGCGATGTGCACTAATGTGAGCTAATGCAATAGATTACACAGTGCTGGCCCAGGGGAACAGACAGCAAACAGATGTGGTCCTCTCAAGAGGAGGCGGCAGAGGTGGGGGTGGGGGAAGAATCAAAGTTTAAAGTCTTCCATGGGCTGAAGATTGTCTGTTCATGAGTGCAATGTTGTGTCGGTATTTTATAGATGCGGGAAGAGTCAACAACAGAGAACTTGTGTCTGCTGATGTAGGAGCCACTTCCAAGCTTATCTGATGCAGTTGGTTTATATTTTTACTCCGAGGATAAACGGAATAGATTCTTGCTGCTCTGCTGTCACAGCAGGTGTTGCCTTTGGCAGCTGATGGGGAACACCTGTTTGACATCACCAGTTACACGTGTAGCATATTATTTAAACTAATAAACATATTTTCATCAACTTTAGAGTTCCTCTTCAAAAAGGAAGTTAAATATATTTGCGCACATAATCAGTATTAAAGCAAATGAAAATGTATTTTTACACTTTTTATTTCACGCTGAGCCTTTTCATAATGTAAAATTCCTCCAAAATAAAACTATAACATTCCACTTTTCTCACTGACCTGAAGCAAAAAGTCAGCCAAAGCCAGTTTAAACTTGGTAAACACTCCCCTCTGGTGGTCAGAGTGAGTCATTGATGAAGATGCCATAAAAATCACTGCAGATATTAAACAAGTCAAAGCAAAACTTACTATTCTTTCCCGTGTCCTAAATTATTATACCAGAAAGGTTGGTTCCTACAGTGAATTCCAACTACAACTTTTAAGTTAAAAGTTAGCCAAAATCTAAATAATTACAAGAGAGAAAAAAAGCTTGGAGTCTGAGCACTAACGGCTGTGTCTGATTTACTTGTGACCCCCACCCAAGGGCGTCAGAAGCATCCGTAATGTGTGTGGGGGGGGGGGGGGGAGACACGATGTGTGTAGGTGTGTGTGTGTGTGTGTGCGCGCATGCACGTGAACACACGTTAAAAAAAAGGTGGTCACTAGTGAACAAAAAAGCAACATTTCACCTAGATTTCCTTTAATTCCACACATTTAAAACATGTTTCTCACCAAGTTTGTGTAAATTCAGCTGTGGGTTTAAAAACATTTTAACTTTAATACACTTTAATACAGAGCGTCAGGTCGGCACTATTTGTCTTTATAGAGAAATAAAAAAACGTCACCACTGGACTTTACTTGTTTTCAACACTCCTCATCTAAATTATGTTTCTCATGAAGCTTGAGGACAATAAGATGTGGAGTTTTAAAGACATTTCCACTTTAATGCACCTGAACACACAGCGTCTCTTGCACCTGCAGCGTCTAACAGCGTCACACTTACTGCTAAGCTCACATGCTACAGATGTAGCACTCCACTTCTCTCCTCCTAACATGAATATATGATGATCAACCCCCTGGTCAACAACTGCCCGCACTAAGCTACTAAACTGGCGAGTGACTAACACAGGTACCTCCACCTCCTCCACCTGTGCGCGTTTTCTGCCGAGGCAGGAAGGGACGTTGGGAGGGTTGGAGGTAACCAGGAAAACCTGGAGTGGAGTTTTAGTGGCTTGAGTATTCTCCTTTTAATCAAGTGGAATGGATTCGTTCACGAAGAAAGAGAAACTGCGCCTCCTGAACTAATGTTTTATAATAAAGGTCTTGTCCCCTTCACATATAATGGTTGTGACACCTATGCCCCCACCTCACAAAATAACTGCTGGAGACAGAAGCAACCCACAGCCCGAAAAGGAAAGAAAGAAAGGTCATAAAATTGGATGGCCATAGAATAAACAGAATCAACAAATTCAAATGACTTGAAAAAAACAGAAAGTTTGACCAACAAAGTCCATGCTCAATAATCCACAGTGACAACAGAATGTTTGCTTCTTCAGGTTGCTGCTTCCCAATAGTACTAAAGGGATAGTCTTGTAATTTTTGATGTGATGTTCAGTCAAATAATCATAAATAGTATTTTATCAGAAGTGGCAGGTCATTGAGCCCAGTCTTCATCCAGGCTAGGCTAATGTCTAGTTAAACTAGGGCATGTTTGATTTTCAGGTTAATAAACTTCACAAAAAGGTATACCCCATTAGCTGATATGAAGCTTCAATACTTGTTTGTCGCAGATCATTTAATTTTTTTACTGATAAATGTTTGTGTTACCATGCAAATACGTAACTGATTGTAGACCTTTGCGTGTCGATCAGTCCGGTGCACGTAATCAGTCCAGAGGTTTACACAACTCCAGGTGGATTGATACATTCGGCATCAGCATGTACCCCGTCCCGTCTCTCTGCTCCACACAAATATATCTTCGTAGTAACACGGACGTTATTTAATTTGAGACAACAGTAAACATGATGAAGAACATGTGATGTCAAGCTAAAGTGTAGAGGTTTACTGGTTTGAAAAAAGACTGAAAATGAAAAAACGAAGAATCCTCCTTGGGTTAGCCACTAGCCTAGCCTGGAAGATCTGTGCAGTCTTCTCTACACCGTTCTTTATAAAGTATAAAGTATTTGATGAAACATTACTTCAAAAATAACCCAACAATCAACAAATACTGGCAACTCAGCAAAACCTTTTAAACTGAAGCTGAGTGTTTGTGCAGAATCGACGAGACTGACGAAACCAAACAAATACTGACAGAATTTTTCATTTCGCACTTTATTGAAATGTGATACAAACTTCAAAACAATACCTTCGATTGGACATTAAGTTTACATGTAGTTTGTACTAAATAAGCACCAAAAATAGCAAAAAGAAGGAAGAAAACAACAGAAACTCGGGCCTATCAGAATAGTAGAAAGTGTAAGTAAGACAGCTGAGTGCAGAGCACGTTAATGAGTCGACCTGAGACGACTCCTTCACAGTGAACAGGTAATTGAATAATTGATCAACAGAGCTTCTTCTTTATGTCCCACACTGCACAGCCATGACGTGTAAAAGGTCACTTAATGGCGACTGCTTTCACTTGCAAAAGAATACTGTAGAGGCCTTGTAGTAAAACCAAACTCCTGCACGATGAGTGAATGTGCAGTAAAACCAGTTCACACACAGTAACCAGTGTGAGATCTCACAGCTGATGGATTTAAAGCACAAATAGGCAATTAATGACCATTTGCCATTTCAAAGTAACTAACTTGTTTTGTGTTTAAAAACTTGGCCTGTAAATACCAAGCACGTCAAATTAATCTGTCTTAATCAGTAGTAGTTGTGTCTCACAGCTGTGTGTTGTATGTTTAACAAACACAGCTGTATGCCCAACATCTGTCCATCTACACACCCTACACTTTCAAACGTCTGCCTCTCGTTGACAGACAGTAGGTGCACAGGCTCAGCTGACATGCTAGCTGCAGCTTTATGTTAGCATGAGGTAGAGCAGGTCAACACTCAGAGGAAAGCGTTACTGTGGCATGTCAGTAACCTAATGAGCAAACGGCACCAAGTTAATCAACACAAACTTTTCACTGTCCAGTGTTTGGAAGAAACAAAAAGTGAAACGCTGCCTGGGCATCAACACAAGGTGACAAAGCAGCAATTTTTTTTTTTTTCACAAATATTTGTTTTACATCAGCCTGATCTCATTAAGTAATGATTTCTCCTACATCACAGAGTGACATTTAAACATTAGTGTGGGTCAAACATCTGGATTTAGTAACAATTTAGAGTGGAAAGAACATTTCAGTATGCACCAGTGTTGGAATTTTCAAATAACTTAAAATACTCAATGAAAATAAATGTACGCTGAAATTCACAGTCCTGAAACGTTCCTCCATTAAACAAAAGTAAAATTGAAGGGAAAAGCAGATTTTGAGAACAAGCAATCTTTCTTAGTCTATACATTAAACTATTTTTATGACGTCGTCCAGATTAGGGTAGCAGCACCGTTTACCTCTAGAAAGAAAAAAAGTAAAACTTCAAACAAATTGAAAAGAAAACTGATTTTATCTAGAAGAAACAACTCGCTGTAAAAAGTCTAAGGTTTGAAGATGAGCAAAGGTGTTCCTCAGAGTATTTCCCAGGTTTTACCTTGGTTTTTACTTTAGGAACTTTTGTCTGTGGTCCCATAGCGTTGGTTTGAGAAGGCACCTGTGGGGTCTCTTCTCTGCAGGTGGGGCAGACCAGGCAGCTGTTGGTACAACACACTTCTGCTCCCTGAGGAAAAGTATTTCACATTATCTCTACAAATTGTGATTTACATGAAACCTACATGAATCAAAGAAAAACGTTTGAGCTACTGCTAAATGAACTAATGTCATACATACCAGCTCTGGGGGTGGCCAGTCCTCCATGACTGGGCGTTGTTGGTGAGCTGTGATACAGGGACACTAGGTCGCTTGGTGTGCAGGAGCGCAGGAGGTTCATCATGCTCCATTCTGAGTCCAAACCTCCTTCCAGAGGAGTGGGTGCATTTTTTATTGGACACAGAGCCTCAGAAGCTGTGGATGGGCCTGACCCTGGAAATGTGACCTGTAACCTGGTCAGCCCATCACCTGTCGGTCCTCTAGGACCAGGCTTGTCCCCAGTGTCCCTGCTGGTCGGTACAGAGAACTTCAGTCTTTTACCAGAAGGTTCACCAAAATCCATATGTGGGAGGCTCCCAAACCTGCTGGTCAAACAGAGCCTGGCAGCATCTGAGTGCCAAATGGCCCCACTCCGTGCTGGGCAACTCCTCTCACCAACCCCCCCTCTTTTCAGAGGACAAGTCCTGTCCACGACAAACTTGTTGCCTGCATTGCTTTTCCTCACGAGTTCTGTGTACCTGGAGGGTCCCTGACTGGGATGTGGGTTGGTTTTCTGTCTGTATTGCTGTGTCTCCAGGACACCATCTTGCTGTGGTAATCTTGATGTGGATGAACATTTAGGACCATGAGTTGAGCTAAATGTGCTTTCTGGAGGTTTGGCGGGTTGGGGCGGTGGGGACTTAGTCCGACGAGGGTAGCTCCTGTCAGTCAACAAAATTGGGGTGACATCTTTCCCATGGAGTGCTGGGGGACAGCCTGTGTAACGTTGTTGTTTGATACGGCCTCCAAATCTATACTTTTTGGTACTGTCCGACTTGTCTTTATGTGTCAGCTGTTTGTGCATTATCAGAACCTCTGGGTACATGGTTTTATAAGCACAAAATGAGCATGAGACTGGACTCAATGAATATTTGGTTTCTTCTGTGGCAGGGAGGGAAACTTTTAAAGAGAGATTTAAAGGAGCCTCAGCGTTCTCATCATTCAAGTCCTTTTCTTCCTTCAACTTAACAGCTACGGGGTGCTTTAAAAGCGCATCCTCATACTCAGTGTTTACCTGGACAATTGGTTTGCCAAGCTTGCTATCCAAGCTGTCAAATCTGTCCTCAGGTGCTTCATTTGTGCACAGTCTGTCTTCAGGAACCCAGAGTTTGGATCCATTTGAGGCAGAACTGTCACTGCCATTTTCATTTCTGTCATCAAGAGAAGGTAGTGAGGGCCCAGGTCTAATGGGGACCTCCATGTAAGATTTGTCTTTGTGACGCCGATCCAGGTGATACTTCAGTGAAGTCTTCTGGGCTGCCGCATAATCACAATAAGCACACTTGTAAGGCTTCTCACCTGGAAAATAAACACATTAATATCAAAGTTGGTTGTATCTGTTGTTTATAAATGCAATTCAATAAAAATTATTTTAATTTCATACAAGTCTGTTATGGCAAAAGGTGAGAAATTTACCTGTGTGAGTTCTCATATGAACTGTGAGGTAATAGCTTGATCTGAATGATTTGCCACAATAATTGCATTCTTTTGATCTGGCTTTTGATCGATCAAAATCATCTTCACCTATAAAAAAATTAAATTAAGTAAACAAAAGACAGAAATGAATGAGAGAACAAACTCACAAAGGGATGGGTTCTTCCTCAGTAGAGGATGAACTTTTCAATACTGTGGCTTTAAAATAAAGCGTAAAACACAACAGATATATGGAGACGCAGCTTTACCTGCAGTGAAGTTCTCCTCAGTTGGGTCTTCATGTCCTTCCTCTGTCAGATCGAGTGAGCCCATTCTTGGCATTTTTACGTCTAAGAAAGAAGTTGGGCTTTCGCCACCTGTTCTTTCACGTTTGTGGACCCTGGAGTGGAGAACTAACTGATGGTAGGTCCTGAATGTTCTTTGACAGTCCTCACAAGTGGTGGGCCTTTCCTTGTCTTTTTGCATAAGTGACCTCTTTGGTGGGTTTGGACTTTCCACAACAGCTGGTTGCTGAGACTGGAGTTCTCTCCCAAGGACCTCGTTCCCAATTTTGTCTCCGTGACCCTCGGACCAAATGTTATTCATCTCTTCCTTATCAGAGTCCTCATTATCTGTGCTGACTTCCTGACCAATGTCTTTAGTATTATTAAGACCAACAGCTATTTTACCCTTTGTAGCAAGCTGCCAGGCCTGATACGTATTAAAGGGATCCAGCTGGGGGATCCATTTGGATGAACGGACATTTTTCAAGCTGTTACCTGTAGAGGCAGGCTGAAGGCTTAAACTATACAGAAAGGCTTTCTGAGTTCCAAAAGTTTCTGTAGCACCATCCATCTTTTCTACGGCTTCATCTTTCCCCTGCTCATTCTCTCGGTTATGTACTTTGCTATGTTCTGCCAAACTGTCATGGTCCGGGAAGAAAAATCCACAAACCATGCACATTTTGTAAACGGTGAGAGCAGGTTCTAAGGCAGACTCTTGAGCAACACCATTGACGGTAAAAGGAGATTCCAGGTCTTGTAGAGTCTTGCTTTTTGGTCCTGATTTTACATGAATCTTCATGTGATTCTTGAGAAACCACGACTCTCTGAACCGTCGTCCACAGACACTGCAACAGTATGTAAAGTAATCCTTGTGCTTCCTCATATGTGCTTCCAGCTCACTGGCATCTTGTGCTATCTGACCACAAACAATGCACCTGTGAATCTCCTCTCCTTCTGTGGAGAGGCTGCCTGGTTTGGGTCGAGGTCTTTCTCCTGGAATCTTGAATTCTGCTTCAATCCGAAGCACTGTTGGCTCAAAGAATGTAGTGGGGTGCTGTGTGATTACATGGGGGCCTAGCTCATCTTGATGAGTGAAAGTCTGGTCACAGAACATGCAGGATAGTTGTTCACCTTCTCCAGACTGCAACACAATCTTCTGTGTGCAGGTGCTACGTGGCATTATACTAGAACAAGACCCTGGGAGACTTGCAATGTTGCTAGTAAAGATATCTTGGCCAATTCCATCTGGGCTATCCACAAATGGCAGCAATGAGTGAGTTGGCATCTTCCTTTGAAGTTTTACACATTATCCAGACAATAAACCTAAAGAAAAAAATAAAGGATAAGTGTTCATAAGCTTTACTGAATATTAAATTAAGATTGAGTAACTATTAAGTCAAACTGACAATAAATCAGTTTAACACACACCAGAGATAAAAAAAAAAATCTAACACAGCATTATGCTAACAGGCAGACTGACATTGATGCAGATAACGCTTTAAGAGAACTTGATTGCTGTTAATTAAGCATCTTATATTAAATAACAAAAAAAAAAATTTTTTAAACTTTGATCGATTGTTCATAGTTGAACATTTTAATTTCCCTGCAAAATGATTAAGTGTGATATTTTTCCACAATTTATTAAACACGGCCAATAGATTTTAATTGTAACTACAAACTCTTGTGTGTTTTCAGCTCAGCATTTTAAATCAACAGCTAGTGTTGTTCTAACAGGAAGAAGCATGTTAAATACTTGGAAACTTGAATACAATGCCAAACTTCTATTGCCTGCTTTGTACCGCCCAAGTAACTTTTTACAGATTAGGAACTTAAAAAAAAAAAACAACAAGCTAGTCAAATGTTCTGTAACAATCAAAATTAAATTGATGATGTAAGCTGCACATGTTTTTATATTTTATCTGGATTAGAAGACTGTTGAACAGGTGATCCATTCATTTGCTTTAACTGATTTTTGTTTTTGGGTTGCAGGAAGCTGGTGCCAGTTTCTAACAGTTGTTGTGTGGGAGATGAGGTACACCTGGACAGGTTGCAAGTCCATCACAGGGCCACATAGAGGCAAACTACGGCTCACACCTAGGGACAACTTAAGGGTTACCAATTAACCTAACATGCATGTCTGTGGAAGAAAATCCGAGTACCCTGAGAAAATCCATGCATGTGTGAACATGCAAACTCCAGCCAGAAAGGCAAGGAGGTGAACCTGCAACCTTCTTGCTGTAGACAACAGATCAAACCACTCAGTGAATATTATGCAACCGTGTTCAAGCTTTAAGCTTTTTGAAAAGAAAAAGCTTTTAGCTTTTATTTAATTTCCCTCTGGGATTAATAAAGTATTTTTGAATTGAAATGAATTGAAGCTAAAGAAACTTCTGAGGTAGAGATTTGAATGTTTTGAGCTTTTGTTTTACCTGTCCTGCTCTAAATGTTAGATATGCATCAACTTATTTAAATAGTCATATTTATTGCAATTTTGTCTTAATTACTTCCTTCTGCTGAAGCCAAAGGGTGATATTGTTTTTTTTTGCTTGTGTCTTTGTGATCATTTGTCTGTAGCATCAGCAGAAATATGTCATGGACTGCTGAACACTTTATAAAAACTCTCAGATTGTTATCACTGGCTGTACATCTACAACATCTAGCAAACACACAAACAAATACAATCCAGTCAATTTCACAGCTTTAGAGCTGAATTTGGTGTGGTAGTGGGTGACTCACCCTCAAAACACAAGTGCTAACAGATCATGTGTGTCATTTACAGCGTACAAGGTTTCTCATTTTAAGACGTTCTTAAGTGTAAAACTCTGGCATGAAAGGCAACAAGCAAGCATTTTATGAGTTTTAGACCTTCTACTATTGTAATTAATTCTTCAGACGTCTAGATTTGTGCAACTTATTGCTGTGACTAAAGTATCAGCAGTTGTACAATGTCTTTCACACAACCTGTTCTTACTTAAACGCACACTGAGCCTGAAGAGGAAAACCTCAGATAAAGATAACCACTGCTGTAGTACCCACTATCTCTAAGGGGAGTTTAGATATTTTTAGAGCCTGCTTAAAAAACACTGGCTGTGTCTAACCTGTTAGTGCACCTCTCTGGTTTTCTTTAAACAAACACCATCGCACCACTGAGGAAGATAAACACATTAAAAATGACAACTACTCAATAAGCTGCCTTGCTGCTATATAATCTTTGGGTTTCCTCACTGTGCCACTCTAAACTGGAGGCTTATTATTAGACTGAACATGTTTGTATCACTTTGAGCCTAAAGGTAGAGGAACTGGATCAACTGGGTGAAAGCACCGGTGTGTGCGTAAATAAGCAGACTGTGTTGCTGTGCTTTCAACTTTTTAGGCACAAAGCTACATTTAGTCATCAACTGAATGGAAATTAGAAAAATGGGGAAAATCCAAACTATGTTTAAATGCAAATGAACCAAATTAGATTCAAATGGTAAATGGACTGTACTTATATAGCACCTTTCTATCTTATTTCAAGATACTCAAAGCGCTTTACACTACAATCTCATGTACCCATTCATACAGCACTCTACTAGATCTCTACAAAGCTAATTGAACAAATCATTCTAAAGAGACTAATCAGTGCTTTATCACGTTCATACACCGATTGGACACATTGGAGGCGATGAGGGGTTCAGTGTCTTGCCCATGAACACTTCGGCATGTGACTGCTATTGGATTTGAACCCCCAACTCTCGCATTGGAGGACGACTGCTCTAACCACTCAGCCACAGCCACCCCAAATGAACCAAATGAAACTTGCTTAAAAAAAAAACCAGACTATTTATTTATAATCAGGGGTGGAAGTAACAAATTACAAATACTCATATTACTGTAATTAAGTAGATTTTTTGGATACTTGTAATTTTATGAGTATTTCTTTCAAGTGTGTAATTTTACTCATACTTAAGTACAATTTAGAGTAGGGATGCACCGATCCACTTTTTTAAATTCCGATCCAATCCCGATACCTAGAACGGAGTATCGGCCGATACCGATCCAGTTCCGATATGATCATCATTGATTTTATATGAGGCTGTAATAATCTGCTCTCAAGTACAATTTGTACAAATATATGCATGCATGTCCAAAAAGGAAACTTGAGGTAAGTTGTATTAATGTTGGATAAGTTTTAAAGTTAGAATTAAATTCTGCTAACACAAAACATGTTTCTTTTTATTCCTAGCTTTAAAGTGGATATTAAAGTGATTAATTTAAGTGATTGTTTAAAGTTGTTTATATTTTATAAGGGCCAGATATAAGAATTGTTTTTCTTCTTTCTGCACTCTTTTCATTCAATGTTTTCTTTTAGATGATTTATTTATTTATTTTTTGTTTCATTTAAATGAATGAATAAATGAATTAAATTAAATGTTAAATGGCTTCAAACATCTGCTAAGTTCATGGCATAAACCAACAGACATGTTCCTGTTTTTAGTATTTTTCATCACTTTATAATGTAGCCGTTTATGTTTTTAATATATATAATTTTCAAATCATGTTTTTTATGATTGTCTGATAAATATCTCCTGGAGGGTAAACTATATCTTGGCTGCAAGTATCAAGCTGAGAAATCCTTCGTTTTCTACAACTGATAGTGGTTGGTCATTAATTATGATGAAGTTTAGCAACTTCTCTGTAAACATTTGAGCTCCGTGGTTTTAGCGACGTCTTCTTCTTGTTCAATCCGAAGCAGGCAGCCTGATTTGGGGCAGTCGCGCTCAGTCTGTCCCTCCTCGGAACCTCGGAGACGGGCAGACTGAGCGGGGCAGATTGGACACGGCTGGCCGGGGTCGAGTCGCCTCTTTCGGTTTGACCAAAGAGTAGCGCCCCGCTGAAGCCACGGAGCTCGAATGTCCATCGTAAAACTAACTTTAACGTGGTTTAATGTGGCGCTATGGCTCTGCAGACATTGCACAATGCTGTCTTGTTTTGTGGCGTTTTTAGTGTAAAATACTTCCACACAGCGGACATGTTTAGATGAAAAGTTTGTTAGCTGTTAGCTACAGT